CTTAGAACAAGCTTAGTAAAGCACAGGGACTGCGGTTCAATCCCCCAGCACCACATGCCAGCTAGCCCCGCCCCCTGGTGGGCTGAGCTGGCCACACACACACAGACACAGACACACACACACACACACAGACACACACACACAGACACACACACACACACACACACACATATAAATAAAAAAAATTAAAAAAAAAATAACCCTAAAAACTAAACCTCTAAACACAGAAGAGTCTTATGCGAGGAGATGCCTCTTCATATGTTTAGGGTTTTAGTGTTACTGCCTGGAACTTACTCATTGTATTATTGCTTCAACTTTACTTGAGGTTTCAAATTTGCCAAAATAAAAGCTTGGAGAAAAAGCCCTCTATCTGAAGTTTGGTGATGGCCCTACAAACCAAAGGCCTTTGTCTACAGAGGATCACATTAATCTGTCTCTGGTTAGTGCAAAAGATGCTGTGTTGAAATGAGCCCTTTTTGCTCTCTCCGAAGTAATCATACCAGTCATTGCATTTTTGTTGAGTTCTACAGAGCGGTAGTGTTGTGCAGTGGGGCCAGTGCAGATAAGACCCTGCCCTAGAGAGGGCTGGTGAGTGAAAGCTTTGAATTGGGGAAAGATTTATTTATTTGTGGTACTGGGCATCGAACTTGAGACCTTGTGCATGCCAGGCAGGCACTTATGCTGCTGAGCTGTCTCCCTAGCCCAATATTTATTATAGAGTCTTGCTATACAGCTTGGACTCATAGTGAGTGATCCTTCTGTCTCAGCCTCCCCAGCTCTGGGATTACAGGAGTGTGTCATCATGCCCGATTTCAGTGGCCAGCACAGCGTGCCCAGGGCTCTGGGGCTGGGACATGTGGTACCAGGGATCAAACTTGGGTCCTTGTGCTTGCCAGGCAGGCACTTAGACCACCTAGCTGTCTCCCCAGCCTGTGGGGGAAAGATTTTTACAGCTGACTTTGAGTGATAGAGTGATGGTGAGGTTCTAGGTTATTAGTATCATGTAAAAGAAAATCGCTTGGTGGCATCTTTAGTCCTTTAGCAGTGACCTTATACTCCTTTTCCTTTGATTTTAGTTCTTGCATGAGGAAGCAGACCTATTTCCAGACTGATGTTTAGCAAACCAACAAACAGAGGTGCTTAGCTCTTGAATGAATATTCCCTTGGGCAAAAGAAAATCTTGGCTCCTCTGGACCCTAGGTTATTGGCCTCGCTGTTACCCTGTGCTTGAGTTTAACTCATTATTTGGTTGCTAGGCTCAATGTTTCCAGTGCTTCATTGTTTCCAATGCTTAGTAAATGACAATGACATATGGACCTAAGTGAAATTGTTGGAATTGTGTTTTGTTTTCACTGTGTAGTTTTCTTTCTGTACCGCCATAGAATATGGATGGGAAAATACACTGACATCTTAGTAATTCTAATCTATTACCCACCTGCTAGGAGGTAAACACAGTGCATGTGGCAAATTACTTTATGTGCCAATAAAGCTTGTGTTTTGGAAAAATGTTGGACTGTTTGTGTCTAAAACATTGTTTTGAATCAAGTCATCTGAAATATGCAGATTGAGAATAGGAAGCGATATCCTGAGCAACATCCTCAAAATTCCAGGAAGGGACAGGCTGCAAAACACAAGATGTAACGAGTCTATAATTAGGCGCCAACCCTGCTTCGGTGAGCTTTTCCTTGGGCTTAGCTCTGACTTTGGTCAGGGAGCTGCCCTCCGACCCAGAGTCGTCACTCACCTTAGAAGATGAACCAGGAGGCAAATCGTAGCTCTCTGAAAAGCCTGGACAGAACAGACCCTTCACTTAATATGTTTCTTTCATGGAAAGGGCAAGGCATAGAATTTAAGGCAAATGAGAACAAGACAGTGTTTCTAATAACATAGGAAGGAAGCCCAGGGCTTATCTTGCAAATCATGTTCACTTTCTTCTCAACTCTAAAACTTGTCTGTTTACTTTTTGGAAAAGTTTTACTCTTTGAAAAAGTTTCCCAAACTGCACTGAGGCACTAAATTTTAGCCAAAGACATTAGTAAGATTTAGGGCCCAGGACGTGGCAGGCCTGGTATAACAGCAGTCCATTTCTCTTGATGTAGAGAGCTGCTGAATGGCCTCTTCCTCGGAGCGCCAGAGTTCTTTTCAATACCAAATAGTCACCACAGAACACGTGACCTCCATATATTTCATGTGGCCAATATGATGTGTAAATTACATTTTTTCAGTCTAGTCCTCCATGCATTATTATCAAGGTGGCCGGGCAGTCTGGTTTGTTGATAGAATTGGCTTATTCCAGCTGCCCCAATGCAAACACAAGTAGTACCTTCCTTCTTTTTCAAAAGCATCCTCATTTGTCTAATGAATTATAGCTAGCTTCCAGTGGCAGTCAGTGTGTCTAGCCCAGGTGAACAGTTTGTTCTGATCAACTCTTTCATTGAGTTTAATTTTGCGACTCAAAATTACAAGGAAAAAATCAATGTGGAAGCACTGGTGAGCTATCAAACTAATGAGAAATGGCAGAACCAAGATCTGGGATAAGGAGATAATGATTGATTGAAAGATCCGAGAGGGGACCCTAGCTTTGGGGTCTGTTTCTTAATATCATGGTGGTTGAAGAATTAAAAAATGAAGGGCCAGCCAAATAGCTCAGTGGATTAAAGCACCTGCAAACAGGCACAGGGAACGAGGTTTGATCCCTGGGCCTGCTGTGCCAGCCCCGCCCCCGGAGTGTGCTGAGATGGCAATGGAGACTGGGTGTGGTGGCGCGCGCCTGTAATCCCAGCTCTTGGGAGGCTGTAAACAAGAGATCACTATGAGTCCAGTCTAGTAGTGAGACCCTGAACACCCTGTAGATCCTTCCATAAAATCCAAAAGAAAAAAAAAAGAATTAAAAAATGAGATTGCGGGGGGCGAGGGAGCTGGCTCAGTGGAATAAGTGCTTCCCTGGCAAGCAAGCGCAAGGGCCTAAATTCAATCTCTGGTTCCACCAAAAA